ATATATGAGGGTACTTCAAAAAGTTCGTGGAAAAATGGAATTAAAAGATAATATGAATCTTCCCATGAGTTTATACATATTATGTTGTTCATATGCATATTATACATAGTTGATATATATGGCTAATCAAGGGCTTGACCCTGACGTTATGCAGGAGACTGGACACAGCATCAGCTACAGCCATATTAAAATTCTCCTGTGGCTTCCCCTTGCCTACAATGATAACCGCTTAGCACTGCATTTCTCATGATGTTCGATCCTGTGTACGAGACACACTCCCTCACATCTCTAACCCTTTGTGTGGGAGAGAGAGAAAAGAAGGAAGTTCAAATGTGCCAAGCTTGTGCCATATGTCCTGTGACAGTTTCACTGCTACCTTGGAAGATAGATGTTATGCTCACTTTATAGATGAGGCTCAGAGAGGCTAAGTGTCTCACCCAAGTCTGCACAGCTGCTAAATGACAGAGCTCAGATTCAAGCCCTTTTCTTCCTTGGTGCAGAATCCAAGTTCTATTTCTTTTTTTCTAAACCAACCACTTTTTGGGAGGTCTGCCATCCAAGGTGTGAGTAATTATCTGTCCTTCAGGAGGCCGCTGAAGACATCTATTCTGGTACTTATCTTAGCACTCATGCCCACTCCTGTTGCACGGTTTCCTGAAGACAAACATTTTATTTTGTCAATCTTCCTATCTGCAGCTCTACCTCGTCCCTAGTATAGGCTAGATGTGCAGGTCTGTGTGTTCCTCATTTATGTTGCTGAACCCTTATCCTAAAGCCTGGAAGTAAACATGCCCTGTGGTCTCTGGGCAGATTTTCTGGTAATGAAAAATGTTACTTGGCTCAACCATTGTAATTCTTATTGTAACTTCAGAGCTGTGACAATTATCCAGTTCATGGTTCGCTGAAGACATCTATTCTGGTACTTATCTTAGCACTCATGCCCACTCCTGTTGCACGGTTTCCTGAAGACAAACATTTTATTTTGTCAATCTTCCTATCTGCAGCTCTACCTCGTCCCTAGTATAGGCTAGATGTGCAGGTCTGTGTGTTCCTCATTTATGCTGCTGAACCCTTATCCTAAAGCCTGGAAGTAAACATGCCCTGTGGTCTCTGGGCAGATTTTCTGGTAATGAAAAATGTTACTTGGCTCAACCATTGTAATTCTTATTGTAACTTCAGAGCTGTGACAATTATCCAGTTCATGGTTACTTATGAAATAGTCTAACACAGGGACATCCACCAGTCTGGAGAACCTTTAGATTTTTTTTAGAAGCAGCATTAGAGTAGAGGCTGCATTGTGAAGCCTTGGTAACTGCTAGCTCTCATAACACGGGGACATCCACCAGTCTGGAGAACCTTTAGATTTTTTTAGAAGCAGCATTAGAGTAGAGGCTGCATTGTGAAGCCTTGGTAACTGCTAGCTCTGTAAAAAACAATATAACCCTCCTCATAGCACCTGCACTGTCCCGCACTTAAATACTATTGTGTTTTACATATGCCCAGTCCAGTTTGTTAGGGCTGCCATAACAACAAACCATAGGCTGGGTGTCTCAAACAACACAAGTTTATTTTCTCCCAGTTCTGGAGGCTGGAAGTCTAATGTCAAGATGCCAGCAAGGTTGGTTTCCTCTGAGGCCTGTCTCCTCAGCTTGCAGATGGCTGCCCTCTTGATGCTTTTTCAAATGATCGTCCCTCTGTGTGTGTCTGGTCTCTCTCTTGGTCAATGTCCTAATCTCTTTTTGTAAGGACACCAGGGACATTGGATAAGGGCCTGCCCTCACAGCCTCATTATAACTTAATCCCCTCTTTAAAGGCTATATCTCCAAATATGCTCACATTCTGAGGTACAGGGGTTAGGACTTCAGCATATGAATTTGTGGGGGACACAACTCATCCCCTAACTCATTACTCTTTTCTCCCAGTATTCGGGTCTCTGTTTATCTGGGGTCCCATCTTTCCTTCTCTGCCTGCCGTGTGTAGCCTTCACCACCACCCCTCGCCTTCCCCCCGTCCCTCCTTGCTGGCCTCACTGTTCCGCTTTGTTTCCATTGAGTCTCCCATGAACCCTTCAGGGTAGAGAAGAAGCCACTCCTTTCCTTCTCTCTGTTCTCTCACTCCCAGCTGGTTCTGACCGTCGGTCTCCTGGCTGTGGTGGTTTACCTCTATACTGTGGTGGCTTTCAACTTCTTCCGCAAGTTCTACAACAAAAGTGAAGATGACGATGAGCCTGATATGAAGTGTGATGACATGATGACGGTAAGTGACTGCCCACCACGGGGCCACCTGAGCCTGCTCCTCGCTGGGAATGTGGAGAACAAGTGGCAGCTGGAGGGCGAGAGAGCAGAACCGAGATTAGGGCAGAAGACAGATGTCTCACCCAGAAGGGAGAAGTGTCCTGGGAAGGTGGATGTGGTGGAAATAGGTTTTGTTTCCATGTGTCTAAGCCTAACAGAAAGGGAAGCCACAGGGTGGGTCACCATTCATCTAAATGTGTCTGGGGTAAAGATGAGACCTCATTGTGAATGGACTTGTATCTAAATTTCACGGAAGTCAAGCTTTGATTCTTGTCTCTGAGAACTGGGAGCAAATTACCATGGGCTTGGGTACTTGATTTATTTCAACAAGCCAGGGGGGTTCTTTCCAAACAGCCACCATAGGCTAAAGAACAGGACAGCAGCAGGATCAGCTCAGGGGGGGGTCCCATTAGTCCAGACCCTAGTGGGAAAGAAAGGCACAGCTCAGGGTGAGCCAGCACTGCCGCAGCAGCATTTCTAGAAGTTCATAACAACTCGATTTCAGGAAAAGAATGTGTGTCAGGGAGAGATGACAGTGAACTGCCCCAGCCTGTGACCATTTCTCTATAAAACAGATAACAGTTCTTGGCTAAAAACGCTTCTTATGCTTCCTTGAGATGAGCACCCTTATGAGACAGCAATACTGGTCACCAGAGCACCCGTGTGACCAACTCCCGTCTTCAGGCTGCCCTGGCTTTTGACTTAGCAGTCATAAGACTGTCCTTTCCCTGTGAGTCTAACCCACCCAGGGGGGTGGAGAGACCAAAGGCACCCTGCTTGGTGAGCCAGTGCCCAGATGCCTGCACTGGATCACATGTGCAGAGCAGGAGCAGAGAGAAAGTCTGTTATCTGAGATGCTGCAGGCATTCCTGCCCTACCACGTGTGCAGGGCATGCAGGAGAAGTAGAGGGGGCATTTCCCCAGAGTTTACAGCACAGCCTGAAGCCCAGGCTAACACTCTTAAAATCAAACGAGGGAAAACTAATTTCCACCATATGCCACATGCACCAAGACTTAAAGATCTTTTAACTTATATATACCTTACATGGATTCTGTTGTGTGTATCAAATAATTCAAAACTGATTTGTAAAAATGGCCCAAAAAATATCTGTTAAAAGCTAAACGTACCAAGTTTTTCCATCTTTGTAGACACCAAACTGAGCTGTGGGCAGCATAGACACTGACCTCACTGAGTCTCCTCCTCCTAGTTTAGCGCTGTCACCATCCGATCTAATCACATGAATGAGCTGACCGCCTTGCTAAAAACAACTCTGCGATCTTTACCTGAATCGCCATTATTTTGCTTCTGTAGTGTTACCTTTTCCACATGTACGTGGGTGTGAGAGCAGGCGGCGGCATTGGCGATGAAATTGAAGACCCTGCTGGTGACCCTTATGAAATGTATCGCATTGTCTTTGACATCACCTTTTTCTTCTTTGTCATTGTCATCTTGCTGGCCATCATTCAAGGTATGGTTGCCAATTGTGTTAAGTATGAACAGAATTCAATAAACATAGTTCTTTTTGCTTTTCTGCATCTATGACTTAACTGTTCTGTGAAGAAGTTTGTGAATCCATTTGCTTGTTCATTTAGCAAACATTTACTGAGCATCAACTATATGTGAGGCCTTGGCTATATATAAAGATACACACAGGCACTGTTACAAGAAACCTGAGAATCCACACAGAGGACCCCCTTCCTTCCACTTCCTTCTCAAATTATGCCCTCACCACTACTCCCAAGACATCTCCTGTGGCTGGTCTTGTGCTCATCGTATTCCTCCCAGGCAGGGAGGTGAGGAAGAAGCAGAGAGAGGAGGTGTGAGAGTGCGACAAGTTTTTTCTTCTATTTGGGGAGCAGGGGAGGTGGGGTAGTGATATTTAGTCATTTGCTTATCAGGAATTGGAGAAAGAAAGAAGATGAATTTTGTTTTGAGTCGTGCTGAGTTGAGGTACCTGTGAGACGTGCAGGTGTTTAGGGCTACGACGCAAAGAAAGTGAGGAGAAGCCTGGCACATCCCTGTCTGAGGGGCTAGGAGAGCAGGAGCCCGTAGCAAAGACGGGGACAGCAAGGGAGCAGCGGAGAGGAAGGTTCCGAGGAGGAGCCAGTAGTTGACAGCACCGAGTAGTGCAGCGAGGTGGGGTGAGAGTGATGAGCAATGGTGAGCCAGGGTGCGGCACGAGAAAACACACCTATTTTTTCTAATTTTGCTTAAATTGTATAGTTCAGCTGGATAATTCACTTTTCTGACAAAGCAGCTTCTGCCACTCTGTGATTCCTCTACCTGGAACCACTGTACAGGTTACTTAAGGTGCTTTGTTGGTCTTTGTATTTAAAATTCCAGGTCTTATCATTGATGCTTTTGGAGAGCTAAGAGACCAGCAGGAACAAGTGCGAGAAGACATGGAGGTAATGTTCTTCTAACTTAATTCCAACTCTGTTTTTATATCCTCACAGCACATGAACAACAGGTTCAGCTATTACTTAGGGTCAGCCCTAGGAAAAAGTGCAGCCTTCCCTGCCCATCCTCTCCCCTTCTCTGCCAGCTCTGGGCGTTTCTGCCCCACTCGGTACCCTGCCATCCCCCTCCCACGCCTGCCCCCCTCCACTGTCCTCAGCTAACCAGGAGCTGGGTATGTGTTGTGAATGACTAACAGCCAAAAGCATTAAGGAGAGAAATATGTCATTGTCCCTCAACAGAGACCATCACCCTTTTTCCTCCTGCCTGTGCTGTCATGCCTACTAATGCTTCTCTGCCTCTGCTATTTTTCTTAGACTAAATGTTTCATCTGTGGGATTGGCAATGACTATTTTGACACGACCCCTCATGGTTTTGAAACACACACATTACAAGAGCACAACTTAGCCAACTACCTGTGAGTATTCTTGGTTAACAGAGGTGATGGGGGCAGGGGGCAGGGAGGTAGGCTAAATAAAACAATTATGTCATATAGTTCAGTCTCTAGTCATACCACTTCTTCCTTTTTCTCTGGAAAAAGTAGAAGTGACCAGAAAAGAACTTCCAGGAGTCCCCATGAGCCCATATATTTGCCCATATACTCTGCCTCTGCCATGTTTCCATAGATGTGTGTTGTGGACTGTTCCTAGCAAAGGCCAGCCCCTCAACCTGTGATTAGATCCCCATGTCTCCTCAAGGACACATACCTCCAGCAATTTCTCTCCCTACTGGACTCTTCCTATCACTGTACAAATAAGTTTTTAAAGCTAATGAAAGAAAAGTCTGTGGCCCCCATTTTTACTTCCAGCTCATGCCCTACTTCTCTTTCCCTTTCAGCAAAACTGTCCCCAATGTTTCTCCTCCCATAAACCCCCTCCTGGCAGGCCTCCCTCCCCACATCATGAGAGTTGGTCTCGTCAGGGGGCCAGTGACCTGCACGTTGCTGAATTCTGTGGTCAGTTTTCAGGCCTCACTATGTCTGTCCTCTCCTGTTAATATATAAGCTCTATGAGAGTGGGACATTTTGGGGTGTGTACGTTTTCACACTGCTTTATCCCAGCACCTCGAGCAGTGTCTAAGGTCTGAGCTGTTACACAAGTGTTATTTCTTCTAAGGTAAAGCCTATTATGTGCCATGGATTTCCTATGAAACTTATAGATTTCTAGAGCATGTAGATATTACCTGATAAAAGGAAAAAAGGCTGGGCTCTGCTCCCTGACCCAGCTCTCACCTCTGTCTACATTTTATTATTTAGAAAGTCTTAACCTTTCTCTTTAGGATGGAACAGTCCTAGCCTTTGGGAAAGGTATTATTGTCAAAGAGAAGTGGCAGGTGTGTTTTTGTCTTAAACTCATCTTTTGGCAAAAAGAATAAGTTAAATAAAAAACTTAGCATACCCTTCCTCATGCCATGAGTGTTTATCATTGTTAATTCCAATTGAGTTTTCATTTCAATGCAAGTAAACAGGACACAGGTCCTATAAAAGGTGAGCACACAGCCATATGTCAGTGCCAGTAAATGGCAGAAGAGTGAAAGGCTGCTCTGCTATCTGGGTTGGAACCCGTCTACATCTTCCTAGGACACTCTGTGTTATAATGGTCTACTTTCTGTCTCTGTCCACCTCTAGCAGTAAGCTGGACTGGAAAGAGACTAACTTATTCATGTTTGAACCTCCTACCTAAAATGGTGCTTTGTCAAATAAACATTCTGGAAAAGGAATAACATGCCTGAGACTCAAACATGGTAGAGATATTGGCCCTGCTTTCTTTCTTATTAGTCTTGGTAAAGGAAAGGGGGAAGAAAAATAACATATTTAGAGCCACTATTGTGGGCCAGGACCTGAAGCTATGAATCCAGCACTACCCAGACAGAATTAAGTTCTGGGGCTTGGACTCTCCCCACCCTCCGAAGGATGTTATTTCTACCTTCTCTTCCTTACCCAGCCTCACATTCCTTTTCCTGAAGGGCATGAGACTGGTTCCTTTGGTAACTGTCTCTGAGATCATGTAACGTGAGCTGAGAGTTCAGCCCCAGCCCTCTGGGATACTTGTATGTCACAGAAAAACAGCTCAGACCTTAGGCATGTATCACGGCCGGAACAAGTGAAACTACACTGGCCTCTCCCAGTTGTCTATAATAAAACACAACTATACTGCCGGAAAAATCAGAGAAACTTACTGAGATTAAATATTTTCTGGCTTTATTCATACAGATATCCTTGACACACATGTAATTTCAGTTCTAAATTTTTATGAGATGATAAATTGGCCTATTAATCACCAATAATTGGTCTATTAACTTATTAATGGAAAGAGTTTAGGCTTCCATTTTATTATTTAAAGGTGGTCAAAACATTACCTTGCAATTGATCTTAGCTCAAGGTTTTGCGATGGTAAAAAAGGATCTCACAAAGAGCCTAATTTTGAGATGAATGTGTATTACTATCAGAAAATGAAGATTTGTGTCCTTATGCAACACTTCATGCAGGAACACAAACCTAGGTTTCTTAAAGTATCTAAACTTTTTGTCATTTATTGTTTTTTCCTTGCTCCAGGTTCTTTCTGATGTATTTGATTAATAAAGATGAAACAGAGCACACGGGTCAGGTGAGAAATAAAATGTTTTTAAGAATCATACCCTTTTGTAAGATCTTCCATTTGCTAAGTCTTGAAACAGTATAGCAGAGGACATTGGAACATGACCCCGTTAGTCTCTTGCATGCATTTTTCCATCGCCTTTTTGTGACTTAAGAAGAAGCCAGAATTCTATGGGGACTTTGGTTTACTCCCAAAGTCCTCCTGGTTATCTTTCCCAACAAACACTGACATTTCCTAAACCCTTATGGTTACTGCTTCAGACTAGAATAGCTGGAGGTTGGGAGAACATTACAGAGAAAAAGACAATGAGAAAAGGAGTGGGTGGCCGTAACAAGGAGCAGGGCACTTGGAGTAAAACAGTGAGGGAACTAGCATAAGACAACGACCTTCTGTGTTGGCAACAGGGGGAACGTGGTGGGTGCACAAGAGGACGAGTGAAAGGATGTGTCAAGAGATTCTGTGACTAAGTGTGAAAAAGAAATGCAAAGGTAGAAAATAAGGGAGGAAAAAGTCGGCTATCAAATGTTCAAACATCATCGGATTTGTAGGAAAACTTTACAGCTCAAACATGGAGTTGGTGCAGTTTTGTTGGTGGGGGTGGGGGTGGGGGGAGAGTCCTCCCCTGCCAGCACTGTCAAGAAGACATGACTTCTTGCTCCCAAAGCAGCCTGGGTTAGGAATAGAGTAAGAACGAATGTGCACGTTTGGCCTCATATAAATTCACATCAGTCTTCTAAAGGGAGACATCTAGAGCAAAAACAAACTGGGCTTCAGCTTACTGTGGTTTAAAAAGAAGTACCCTTGGTTCACATCATTTCAGGAATCCTATGTCTGGAAGATGTACCAAGAAAGGTGCTGGGATTTCTTCCCTGCTGGCGACTGCTTTCGTAAACAGTATGAAGATCAGCTTGGATAAATCTGAATGAAAGAAATGTCACCATTACAGACTTCCAGTGAAATACAGTTCTGCAACATATCTGAATTGTCTAAATGCTTCCCTTACAAGAAAATGTTTGTTAAAAATCTGTGTTTTAAAATTGATTTGGCTTTTTGTGCCTAATGGACATACACAGTGGGAGGTAACCTGTCAAATCGTGAAAAAGGATGGCAAGGAATCTCTACTTGAATGCTTCGAGTGTTATGTTCTAATGCAACTAGTTCGTTGGGATAATAGAATTGAGGAAGGGACTAGAGAAGTTTGAAATCTTGAATGCATAATACCTGAAATTTTAAACATCTGAATGTCATATGACTGTATCCCACTAGTGGTTCATGATCTGAACTACAAAAAATCATTTTAACTGCAGTCTAATTTTTCCCATGGTACTTGCTAGTGACCGTATGCAGAATCCGCTTGAAAAGCTTTAAGCAGTTAAAGAAATAGAAAAAAAAAAAAAACACTTTGTCGACACTGAAATATCGATTAAGTGCCTTAAAACCTCTTTAGATATAGCTATGCAAGTTTTTTTATGTTTGTGTTCCAGAAGGACAGTTCCTTTAATTAGTGGTGTTGATCTTCTGTCTTACTTTATGAAACTGCACTTGAAGGGTATTCATTTTTTTTTTTCAGTAACAGCTTGTCAAACTGCTGTTATTAGAAAAGAAGTACTGTACTGAAAATTCAGAAAAAAATCTCATGCCAAAATTGAGTAATGCTTTATGGTCCCTTGTAAGTAGTGGAGCTGCTGTGTTTAAATGAATCTTCTCAAATAAATAAAATGAAGTGCCCACTGCAATAAAATAACACCAATCCATGGTCTGGCCTCTTGGAATGCACCAGTTTGGGTTGATTCTGCAATCACACTGACACACATGAGACACACAGCCTAAGGCCCCACACAAGAAAGAAAAAAAAATTCAAAGGCCAGTGTTTGTTTTTGTGTGTGTGTGTTTTTTTAATTTTGGCCAAATGCATGCCTTGCTTCCATCTATCTCTTAATCAGCAGCACCTACTATGCTGTAAACATGGCAAGGAAGGATACTGGAAACAAGTGCCTAACATCCCCTCCCCTTAAGGAAATCTATTAGAGTACTAAGCCGGAAAAAAAAAATCCAACAAGCCTCTAAAATGTTTCTTTCAAATATTGTCAAACACAGAGGTAGGCATTTACTGCTGTAAGCATGATGGAACACACTGGTTTAGGGCATGCTTGTAAACTAGCTGTTCTGAAGGACAGCTTTGTGTCCACCTTTACTTAGAAAGCAACAAAAATTTGCTTCAGGCACTTTTTTTTTTTTTTTTTAGGAAATCATGCTGTCCAACCAGTCTTCCAGCTCTTCCTCAGTAACATTCTTTGATACACTTGGTTGCTCAGATTCCATGTTCTTTTCTTCAGTCACAGATGGTTTTGCAGGAACTGGGGAAATAAAAGCAATGTTAACAACCTCACATTAGTCTCAAAATAGAGTTAAAGTTTCAGTGCTAATACTGTCCTTACAACAAGGGGAAACATCCTCATTATTGTTACTCCTTAAAAGGATGATATAGTAATATCTAAACAAATTAATAAATGGAGACAGATTTGGTCTCCTATTTACTCTAAAGTTGAATTTCACAGTTCACTAGTTATTTTCAAAAGACCAAAAACTCAGTTTTCTTTGTACTATTGTAGGAAACCTGGAAAATCATCATTAAAAGTTCTCGAATGCAGTATGTGGCTGTAGCAATTGCCTTAGGCCTCTCCAAATTGGATGGGCCACCATCTCACAAAACATGCACAAATTAAACAGTGTTCTTTTGTAAAAAATAAGATCGAAATAGCAAGAAAGAAATACAAAGAGTTGGTTAACAGGCCCATTCAAGGCAGTCGATTAAAAGGTCTGCTGCTGAAAAGCTGAGAGCTACAAGCATCTTAATACCTTTTTATGGCACAAGTTCAATTTGTAGCCCCAGGTTTAATACTGCAGTCAGGCAGGTAGCAGCTCTGGAAGCTCGGTGTATCGAGTGAGAGGAATGTTGTCAGAAAGGTCAGCTCAGGGGGAAGCAAAGATGTTAGCACAGAAATAGATGTCAGTGGACCGTACTGGATCGATGTCAGATGCCAATAGGGATGTGTGCAGATGTGATGCGGTGGGGCCACAAAACACCAGACTTCAGAAGGTGGGTGGGGAATAAAATGAAAGCTATACCTTTTTCCTCTTGGGCCACCTCCCCATCTTTCTCAGATTTGAGGTCCTGAGATGGCTGATCTGGTAAGATGTTATCGCCCTCTTTTACAGGCGCATCTAAATTAAGCAAGAGATCTAGTTCTTCTTCCAAATGGTCTGCTGCTGACTGCAGTGGGGAAGTGGGTTTATGAGAACCCCTTGAAGGACCTGGTCTAGGGCTGTCTTTGCCCATGGACACAGAGCAACCAGCAGCAGCAGATTTCAGCTCAGAGATGGGCCCTCTTCCTCCAAGCCTCAAGGGTCCCTTTAACTGCATCCCTGGTCCCTTGCTGTCATCATTTCTCTTCGGTTTCACCTGAGGAAGCTCTAAAGGAACTGTAGCCTGAAAGAAGTACAATAACTGAGTTAAAAATGTGACTTTTGCCATATTTGCTTAAGTAGACACGAAACATAGGAGGTTAAGGAAGCCATCAAACTTTGTGAACTTATCTGAATTGAGTCTCCTATCCCACAAAGTGTCTTCCGTTTGGGCCCCGGTCCAGCACCCTTCCTGATTAACTTTGATAAATGTGGGAGACCTCTCTGAAACAAGGCAGGACTGTGCCTCCCACTCTTCCCACCCCAGCTGTGTGCTCAGAGTTGCAATTAAAAGGTCCCTATCCTCCTATCACTGGCCTGAAAACTGACAGCACCATAGGTCTTTTTGAATCTATACTTATATCTGTAATGAGACATGAACATCTGTAAAAGTCACCAAGAAATAATCAGCAAATCCATTGATCTGTTTGTTGTATTTAAATTCACTAATATAAAGATGCAGGATCAAATTCACCGAGAAAAGCATGACTTTCAACAGCATTATTTGAGTAAAAAATGGCAGATGCGAAGAAAATATATTATTTGATCACATGTGTAAAAGGGAAAAAACAAAAACAAGGGAAACTGTAGTATTAGAAATCTGGATAATGGTCACCTTTGGGGAGACAGTGACTGGAGGGCATGTGAGTGGTGGCTTCTGGGGTACTGCCAATATTATGATGCTCAATCTAGATGCTGATTCCATGGTCATAAATACTTACGTGTGTACCTTTCTGTACCTGTGTCACACTTTAATAAAAGTTAACTCCACAGGTGATTGTAATGTAAGGTTACACTCTAAGGCCAAGAATCACTGCTCTCAAGGGAAGGCTACGAGGACTAGCACAGCTTCACAGTGGGCAGGTTCAGAACGAGGTTCAACCTCTACTGGGGGCACTGACCCTTGATTTTCACTTTTTAGCATCCTGAGCAGATCCACTTTGCTAATACTTCCTCAGACTCTCATAGATATTCAAGACAGTGTGGCTTTATACACAGCCTGGAATAAACATCCGCATTGTTAGTTGTACAGGGCAAAGCTGGGATGTGGTCCTCTCTTCTAATCCTAGAGTGATTTAATTGGTCTGGAGTGGGTATCTGGCATTGTTTTTGTTTTCAATTCTCCAGGTGATTCTACTATGCAAACAAGGTCAAGAATAACTGCTCTACAGTGGTGGGGGGAGGGGTGGATTTTAAAAATAATTCAACCAGATTTTCAAAGTTACTTCAATTATTTTATACCTTTACTCTAACGCCTGCCACTGACATAACATCCTTCACTCTCAAACGCTCATACCACTTTCTCTCTTTCTTCAGTCCTGGAGACTTTATCTCAATGTTTCCCAGGTATATTCTGTTAAACGTTCCACATTGTGTGGGATCAAACCAACCACTTCAGAACTTTGAACATGACGGGGCACCCAGCACGAAAAGCCAGTACCACTTTCCCAGACACCCCCATACTTTTCTAAAGAACCCCCAGGGTGATCCCCCATCAGAGGCAAATGCGAACCTTTCTAGCCCTCCACCCTGAGTCTAACTGTCCTCCAGCCCTGAATTCTGCCTGCTGCCCTAGTAAGTGCAATGGAAACAGCAAATTGAGTGGGTAACCAAGTCATTGCTATCTTCAAGCTCAGCATCACATGCAGCCACAGAAGTTGATAAATTTTAGTTGCTAGGATTCTATTTAAAATCTGTACTACCTAGGGTTTCACCTCCTTTTTTAAATCCAATCATGCCACAAATAAATTTGAAAGTCCTTGAGTCTCCTCCTCTCTTAGTTCATCAGTTGCCACCTAGCCCTGATATTGCCCCATTTATATTTCTAGTCCTTAATTCTGAACTATAAATTTCTACATCCGAATTGACTAATATTTCCACTGGGATATCTCAGAGGCACAAAATCACAATGTCTAAATGCCACCCTTCCTGATACTACCTACTGATGAGTTGCACAAGCTGGAAAACCTTGAATTCTTCCTTGGCGGTTCTCTCTCCATTTTCAATATATCACCAAATCTTGTTCATTTTTACCTTTGAAATACCTCTTGGTTAAGTCCACTTCTTTGCCATCTCCACTGTCAATGACCCTATTCCAAGCTACAGTATTACTCACTTGGACCCCGGACAGCCTTCTACTGCGCCTCCCGCCTCCCTCATCTACTCTGCTCCTGCACGTGCGTGCACACGCAGACTTACCCCAAACACACACACTCCAATCCCACAGTCTGCTCTCCATTCTGCAGCCAGGATGTTCTTTATCATCATCATCATCATCATTTTGTTAATGTAGATCTGATTGGGTCATTCCTCTTTAAATTCCAGCTCAAATGTTCCTACACATTAGACCTCAGCTTATCTCACTTCTTCAGGAAAGCTGTTCCTAACCATACCACAGCATATCAGGTTCATTATTATATACGCTCATGGTACACTGCACTTTATAGGACTTATTACAACTTGTATATATGTTTATGGTTATTTGGTTAATTTGGTTACTATTCATCTTTCCCAATAGCTCATACTCCAGGAAGGCAGGAACCGTATCTGTCTGCTGGCCACTGTGTCCCTAGAGCCTAACACAGAGCCTGGCATATAAATATTTTAAATAAAATAATAGCCACACTTTATATTTCATATTTCATCCAACTCCATTACATCTGATCCTTTCAAATGTTTCAAATATAAAATGTAAAAGAGTAACTTCTAAAAATTATTTTGTTCTCCTTTCAATTTTACAAAATGCCACCTTGATACAAAATTCTCAAAATTCCTCTCTTAAAGGAAAAGGTGAGTCTGAGATACCCTGCAGATGGGTGTTTTTCCCTCTTTTTCTTCTGCCCTAAATCCACACCAGTTTTAGATGCCTTCAGGGTTACCTGGATCAACTCAGCAGCAACATTGAGTCGGAGTGAGAGAGGCAGCTCTTGAAGGGCCCGAACCAGTGACTCACTATCCACGTAAAGTGCTGAATTCTATATATTTAAAAAAAGAAAATATCATGCGATGATTAAGTATGACCTTTTGGAAATAAAAGAGCAGAAGAGGAAAGAAAGTAACTGTAAATAAATCATCCAGTGAAGTTACTTTTGACTGGGATTAAGTCAAATCATAAATCACACTTAAGATCAACAAAACCAAAAGTACCTCCCTGAGCCACAGCTCACACAGCCAGAGCAGCAGCAGGATTAGAGCTCACCCTCATATCAAGACCGCACAGTGACCTGCAAACTGTGGTGGCTTTTGCAATTACTGGCAAGCTAAAAGAAAACTAAGCATTTAATGACGTTTAATTGGACACCTCCTCTAAATTCAGAGTGCTGGTCCTAGGGAGGGGAAGGAAAAGCTCCTAGGCACTGAGGTGGGCTGACGGGTTGCTGAAGGAATGGGTAAAGTATGCTTCTCTTCGAACCAGAAAGCAGAAAATGGAAACTTGTCCTCCTTAACTAGCAGCACTGTGAGTAGGGCCAACCCTGAAAGCTTCTTTTGGCTTTTTTCCCATTCACAGAAGTAAGGTCATGTCAATGTACTGACCTTACAAACTGACACTCTTTTTTTTTTTTTACTGACCGGTAATGGGATCACAACCCTCGGTGTCGCGCCCGTACCGGGGACCGGCAACGGAATCGCAACCCTCGGTGTTGCGCCCACACTGCGCTCAGCCAGTGAGCAGGAACCGGTCTCCACATGGGATCTGAACCCTCAGCAGGAGCGCCACCTCACTCCCAAGCGGCGCACTCTCCAGTGCGCCGGCTGACACTCTTTGAGAAAACATTTCAGATAATCCCATGGCCCCTAACAGCTTCTTCCAGATGTCCTGGCCACCTAGAGAAGGAAAAAAATGAAAAGGTGGTCACAATGACCTCACATACAGAGGCAAACACCTCTGACCACCTAGTCTGCCAGGGACTGTCACAGGCCCAGCCAGGACCATGTTTTATCCTGTAATCAATCACTTCCAGCTGAAGAAAACTCAGAGGTCATCTAGTTAAATCTCTACTCCAGTACAGGAATGTCTCAGGTAGATTGGGTTTATAATAATCAGAGATGGAGACACATTCCTGACTACTGAGGTGTGCTGAGGTCTGGTTAAAGGTGTCCAAGACTTCCCCTGCCCTCTTCTGCATTATGTGCAACACAACTACAAGTTATATTATAAACAAAGAAAAGTTAGCCAAACAAAGACACAAGGCATAGCCTGGCTGTGTTTACAAGCTATGCTCTGAATGAATGAAGTTTGGCAGTGTCCCCTACTGGAATGTGGTCTCTCCCACATTTCTAATTCCCACCCTCTACCCAGTGCCCAGCTGACACTGCACCACCCTCCATAATGCCTCTGTAGCACTTCACATCATAGTGATTTCTCCTCGTCTTCTCGCAGGAGTCCTGGAGCCAAGAACCTGCCATCAAATGCCACTTTGTAAGAAGGCTTTGTTTTGGGGGGTCACCAGTTTATCCATGAAGGGCTAAAGCTGAAGGCCTTAGATATAAAGTTAGCTTAAGTGAAGTGCTTATAATACTAAAGTGTGGATTTTCAAAGTAGGTTTAATCAGAATAACCATGAATTAGCTTTTTTTTTTTTTTTTTACATATTTTAAAATAATCAGTGGGTTATTTCAGCCTGGAGAGCCCAGCCCCCTTATCCACCTGGCCAACCCTAATGGTCACTTGCAGTTGGAGTGGGCAGCCTGGCTGACAACACCTGGCCACTAATAGGAGCAGACAACACCCACTGAAGATGCTGTGAGGGAGGGGTATGGAGAGAAGCGGGACACCCTGAGGCCACCTTGACTGTTAGTACAAAGTCCCTACACCCCACTTCTCTGCCATCAGTATGCACAGAACCCTGCCTAGTTGGTGAAAATCTGCAGTCCTGAAAGGTTCCTCTCTGACCAGGAATTTTATCAGACTGAATCTCACTCTCTGTGTAAAGGCACACTTTCTGGTGAGAAAAGAACCTGCTATAATTTCCACTCTGCAGCAAAAAAAAAGCCTTTAATCTGACCATCACACCCTCTTCAGACTCTATTGCACTTGCTGTCTAGAGGTGTCTGGGGCTCAGGGATCATGCATACACTGTATGGTGGAAATGCCCAAACTGGGCAGCATTTTAGAATAAGCTGGGAAGCTATTTGAGACACAGATCCTCAGGCTTCACTCACAGAACTGGCCTCTCTGGGTGGGGGGCCTTGGGGTCTGTGTCTTTAGCTACCGGGCACTCAGGAACTCTGCCTATCACCAACACTCAGAAGTTGCTCAAGGAGGGTCTTTGAAATAAATAAGTCACTATGTCAACAAAAATTTTAAATGGGATTTTAAAAAGCTTCAGGTGATTTAATAATAATAGATCTATTTTTTTCACCCAAAGAAGTTATTACCCCACCCATTTCTTCCTCATATAGTTCCCCACACTGTGTGAGAAAAAATATGAAAATCCCACTCATGGATCAAAGGGACCGACTCCCCTGTGGTAATAACATAGGCCAACACAGCTGAAGCAGAGCGCGCTGACCACCAGGCTGTGTCCCTCACCCTGCACGTCAGCCACAGAGATGGATGCAAGGCAACACCCTGACTGGGTCCCTCTCCTGTCAGGATTCCCTCTGAGGATTTCGAACATGTCCCACTAATAAACTCCGACTCCCTTTAAATTGCAAAGACATATTTCTACATTCCCCCTCTGTCACATCTCACTGGCTGTGCTGGGGGCACAGGGGGGCATGAGGAACAAGAGCAACCATATACAAGGGGTCTTGTGTCTACACGAGCATACCCACACACACGAGGGCACTTCAAAAAGTTCGCGGAAAAATGGAATTAAAAGAGAATATGAATCTTTCCACGAACTTTTTGAAGACCTCATATATATCAATTGCCATTTTTTTCTCTCTCAAGTAAGCAAGAAGAAAACCTAGTGAGCAGTTAAGTGAGATGGGAAATAGTGATGAGGAAATGACTGATTCAGTTTTGGATGTGTCCTATTAATACCTCCAACTCGGAATGTCCGAAATCAAACTTAACTTCCTTCTCCTCTTCTTTTGTTCCATTAATGGCATCCCCACTCACCTAGTTACTCAAGCTAGAAAGTTCAGCGCCATTACAACTCCTCCTTGTCCATGTGCCTCACATCTGCCCAGTGACCACAGTCTACCTCACCCTCTGCTCAAGTTCTGTCTATCCAGAACCCTTTTTCCACCCTCACTGCCCCACAAAGTCAGGCGGTCATCCCTTCCCTTTTGCCCAACATAATAACCCTCCTAAGTGGTTTTCTTGCCTCCAACCCCTCAACGGTTCGATCCTTCCTTCCCGATATTGCCAAGGTCAAATCTAACCATTTCCACGTTCTTCTAAACAAAACTTTGTTAAATAATATTAGTAATAAGAGCTCATTTGAGTGTTTCATATGTTTCAGGAACTGCACCAAAGAGCTTTATACTTGTTATCTAATTTAACCCTTATTACAACTCCGAGTTATATTTTTATTGTTTGCTCCATTTTACAGATGAGAAAACAGAAAGAAAGAAGTTTGCCAAAATTGTAGACCTAGGATTCACACTCAGGCCTTTGTCTCCAAAGTCTATGCTCTTACTCGCATATTAAACTGCCCCTGAAGAGAATTGAAGATCATTCTAGTCCTGACCTATCAATGAAGCCTCCTGCTCCGGGAACACTACGCTCTGGCCATACTCCCTACTCTTGAGCACAACCTGGTTTTTCTGATTTCACCACTGTCACTTTGTTTCCTCAGACAACCTACCAGAGTCATATTTACCCAACACCAAGGTTTATTCAAGTGATCCTTTCCCCATGATACTGGGTTTGTTTCTTTTTTCCCCCCTCAATTTGATTGATATTTATTTTTGTGGGGTATTGTGTGTTCTTTCAATACACGCGTATACTGCTCTACCGCACAATAATTCACTTAGGGTAGCTAGCATAGTTTTGTACACATTAGTCTACCACTCCTACCCCCAGCCCCCTCCCAGCCTCTGGTAACCATAATTCTATTCTCTATTTATATTAGACCCACTTATTTTTTAAGATTCCATATATGAGTGGTATTTGTCTTTCTTTGGCTAACTTCACTTAATATGATGATTTCCAGTTCCATCCATGTTGCTGTAAATGATAGGATACAATTTCTTTTTATAGCTGAACAGTATTCGATTTTGTATATATACCATGCTTTTTTTATCCATTCATCCCTTGATGGGTATTTAGGTTCATTCCATCTCTTGACTACTGTGAACAGTGTTGCAATGAACATGGCAGTGCAAGTGTCTTTTTGATATACTGATTTCATTTACTTTGTGTATATACCCAGTAGTGGGATACCTGGGTCATAAAGTAGTTCAATTTTTAGTTCTCTGAAGAACCTCCATATTGTTTTTCACAGCGGCTGCACCAATTTACATTCTCACCAACAGTGTAGGAGGGTTCCCCTTTCTCTGCATCCTTGCCTGCACTTGTTATTCTCTGTCTTGTTGATAATAGCTAGTCTAACTGTAGTGAGATGATTTTTCATGGTGGTTTTAAAGTGCACTTTCCTGATGATTAGTGATGCTGAGCATTTTTCCATTTGAAGGCCATTCGTATGTTGGCCATTCGTATGTCTCTTTTGAGAAATGTCCGTTCAGGTCCTCTGCCCATTTTTAAATTGGGTTTTATTTTGCTGTTGTTTGACTTCCTTATAAATTCTGGATACTAACCCCTTGTCTGATGTGTAGTTTGCAAACACTTTCTCCCATTCTGTAGGTTGTGTCTGGTAGGCATTTATTGTTATAAACTTCCCTCTTAGAACTGTTTTCTCTGTATCCCATACGTTCTGGTTTTCATTTTCATTTTCTCCAGAAATTTTTTAATTTCCTTCTTGATTTCTTCTTTTACTCATTCATTGTTTAGGAGCAAATTGTTTAATTTCCTTGTATTTGTACAGTTTCTAGTGTCCCTTTTGTTGTTGATTTCTAGAAAAGAT